ATGGTATTTGTGCTTGGGGGGGTTCTACTATCCAAAATCATTTACGTCCTCTAATTACTCAACACAAATCTGCTATTAGAACAATATCTAACTCTGGTCCCAGACAGCACTCGGCCCCCTACATAAATTATTGAATCTGTTAGATATTAAATCTGCACATCGTCTCAAGTGTACTCTATATATATAAATGTATGTAGACTTGTAGAAATATGTATATTTCTATACATATGTGTATTGGTATAGGTGGAAATGCTCTACAAATCTGGGAGCCCAGAATGTGGAATGACCTTCCCAATCATGTCAAAGACTGTCCCTCTCTCAACCAGTTTAAGAGACTAAGTATTACCTAATACACTCCATGTAACCTACCTTACCCCCTAAATGTCAACCCAGGTCTTGCTATTTTCAAACACTATTCATTATTCACCAATCTGTTTAACTGCTGATATCTGCCCCGTATAAACTTAAAGGAAATTGTAGTCTCTTTATTTAGTTAAAATTTCATCATCTAATTGTTATCATAATTTTTTCCCCTTTTTTCAATTTATACTTTTGATCTCAATTTTAAGTTTTAGTCTAAGTGTTCTTCTCACACCTTGCCCGAAACGCTGTGTGTATTAGGGACTTGAGGCATAGTATGTTATAGCTCTATCTAGAAATCCGAAATTATGATTGTAATTCATTTTGAATGTATATACTTTTACCTGAATAGACATTATATTATAAAATTCTTTTCTTGGAAGTGAAGAGACCATAGAAAACGCAGACCAGGCCACTAGGGGTCTGGGCGCATGCGCAGTAAGGGGCGCGTCCTCCGCAGGGTATAAAAACCAGGGGTTCGAACTGTGGTCATTCACACCAGGAAAACTTCTATCCACCTACCCAGTGGTAAGTGTCCCTCTTCATGGTGACTTGTGAGTGACGGTGGTGCTTGTGAGTGACGGTGGTGCTTGTGAGTGACGGTGGTGCTTGTGAGTGACGGTGGTGCTTGTGAGTGACGGTGGTGCTTGTGAGTGACGGTGGTGCTTGTGAGTGACGGTGGTGCTTGTGAGTGACGGTGGTGCTTGTGAGTGACGGTGGTGCTTGTGAGTGACGGTGGCACTTGTGAGTGACGGTGGTGCTTGTGAGTGACGGTGGCACTTGTGAGTGACGGTGGTGCTTGTGAGTGACGGTGGTGCTTGTGAGTGACGGTGGCACTTGTGAGTGACGGTGACACTTGTGAGTGACGGTGGCACTTGTGAGTGACGGTGACACTTGTGAGTGACGGTGGCACTTGTGAGTGACGGTGACACTTGTGAGTGACGGTGACACTTGTGAGTGACGGTGACACTTGTAAGTGACGGTGACACTTGTGAGTGACGGTGTCGGGTCATAATAGGGTGAGGGAGGGACCGAGTGATTTGGAAGGAGGGGAGGAGAAGGGGGAGAACACAGGAGACGCCAGGAAAGATCAAACAAATACCGTGAAAGAATGAGAAGAAACGAGACAAAATAACCAAAACGAGAAATTAGGAACACAGGTGAGAAGAAGAGAACTAGAGGAGGAGGAGGAGGAGGACAGAAGAAGAAGAAGAAGAAGAAGAAGAAGAAGAAGAAGAAGAAGAAGAAGAAGAAGAAAAAGACGAAGACGACGACGTGCCAACACCCTTCAGGTGGGAAGATGGTCAGGTGGTATATGCAAGGTGAGGGGGGACCATCTTCACCTGGCTCCTCCTCACTATACAGTCTCCGCCTTTGTCACGCCCACGGCCTCCTCATCCCCCCACGCCTCTCCCTTCACCAGAGACCAGGGAAGAGGGAGAGGGAGTGGGCGGTGGGAGGGAGGGAGGGACGGGCGGAGGGCGGAGGGAGGGACGGGCGGAGGGCGGAGAGAGGGAGAGGGACGGGCGGAGAGAGGGAGGGGGGAGGGAGAGGGACGGGCGGAGGGAGGGAGGGAGAGGGCCGGGCGGAGGGAGGGAGGGAGGGAGAGGGCCGGGCGGAGGTGGGGGGGAGTGGGTCAGTAATCCCAGAGAAAGGTTTATGGTTGAAAGTTATTGCCAGTTTACCTTGACAACACTGTCCAGCTGAACGGTGGCCTTGACTGTTGGCCTCTGGCAGGCACCACAACACTCCCTGGACACTCACAACACTCCCTGGACACTCACAACACTCCCTGGACACTCACAACACTCCCTGGACACTGACAACACTCCCTGGACACTCACAACACTCCCTGGACACTCACAACACTCCCTGGACACTCACAACACTCCCTGGACACTCACAACACCCCCTGGACACTCACAACACTCCCTGGACACTCACAACACCCCCTGGACACTCACAACACTCCCTGGACACTCACAACACCCCCTGGACACTCACAACACCCCCTGGACACTCACAACACTCCCTGGACACTCACAACACCCCCTGGACACTCACAACACTCCCTGGACACTCACAACACTCCCTGGACACTCACAACACTCCCTGGACACTCACAACACTCCCTGGACACTCACAACACTCCCTGGACACTCACAACACTCCCTGGACACTCACAACACCCCCTGGACACTCACAACACCCCCTGGACACTCACAACACTCCCTGGACACTCACAACACTCCCTGGACACTCACAACACTCCCTGGACACTCACAACACTCCCTGGACACTCACAACACTCCCTGGACACTCACAACACTCCCTGGACACTCACAACACTCCCTGGACACTCACAACACTCCCTGGACACTCACAACACTCCCTGGACACTCACAACACTCCCTGGACACTCACAACACTCCCTGGACACTCACAACACTCCCTGGACACTCACAACACTCCCTGGACACTCACAACTCTCCCTGGACACTCACAACACTCCCTGGACACTCACAACACTCCCTGGACACTCACAACACTCCCTGGACACTCGCAACACTCCCTGGACACTCACACTCACACTCCCTGGACACTCACAACACTCCCTGGACACTCACAACACTCCCTGGACACTCACAACACTCCCTGGACACTCACAACACCCCTCCCTGGACACTCACAACACTCCCTGGACACTCACAACTCTCCCTGGACACTCACAACACCCCCTGGACACTCACAACACTCCCTGGACACTCACAACACTCCCTGGACACTCACAACACTCCCTGGACACTCACAACACTCCCTGGACACTCACAACACTCCCTGGACACTCACAACACTCCCTGGACACTCGCAACACTCCCTGGACACTCACAACACTCCCTGGACACTCACAACACTCCCTGGACACTGACAACACTCCCTGGACACTCACAACACTCCCTGGACACTCACAACACTCCCTGGACACTCACAACACTCCCTGGACACTCACAACACTCCCTGGACACTCACAACACTCCCTGGACACTCACAACACCTCCCTGGACACTCACAACACTCCCTGGACACTCACAACTCTCCCTGGACACTCACAACACTCCCCTGGACACTCACAACACTCCCTGGACACTCACAACACTCCCTGGACACTCACAACACTCCCTGGACACTCACAACACTCCCTGGACACTCACAACTCTCCCTGGACACTCACAACACTCCCTGGACACTCACAACACTCCCTGGACACTCACAACACTCCCTGGACACTCACAACACTCCCTGGACACTCACAACACTCACAACCTGGACACTCACAACACTCCCTGGACACTCACAACACTCCCTGGACACTCACAACACTCCCTGGACACTCACAACACTCCCTGGACACTCACAACACTCCCTGGACACTCACAACACTCCCTGGACACTCACAACTCCCTGGACACTCCCTGGACACTCACAACACTCCCTGGACACTCACAACACTCCCTGGACACTCACAACACTCCCTGGACACTCACACCCCCTGGACACTCACAACACTCCCTGGACACTCCCTGGACACTCACAACACTCCCTGGACACTCACAACACTCCCTGGACACTCACAACACTCCCTGGACACTCACAACACCCCCGGACACTCACAACACTCCCTGGACACTCACAACACTCCCTGGACACTCACAACACTCCCTGGACACTCACAACACTCCCTCTCTGGACACTCACAACACTCCCTGGACACTCACAACACTCCCACACTCACAACTCCCTGGACACTCACAACACTCCCTGGACACTCACAACACCCCCGGACACTCACAACACCCCCGGACACTCACAACTCTCCCTGGACACTCACAACACTCCCTGGACACTCACAACACTCCCTGGACACTCACAACACTCCCTGGACACTCACAACACTCCCTGGACACTCACAACACTCTCTGGACACTCACAACACTCTCTGGACACTCACAACACTCCCTGGACACTCACAACACCCCCTGGACACTCACAACACTCCCTGGACACTCACAACACTCCCTGGACACTCACAACACTCCCTGGACACTCACAACACTCCCTGGACACTCACAACACTCCCTGGACACTCACAACACTCCCTGGACACTCACAACACTCCCTGGACACTCACAACACTCCCTGGACACTCACAACACTCTCTGGACACTCACAACTCTCCCTGGACACTCACAACACTCCCTGGACACTCACAACACCCCCTGGACACTCACAACACTCCCTGGACACTCACAACACTCCCTGGACACTCACACCTTCCTGACCACAGCACCATGTTGCCTATGTCCACTCACAAGATGAGTGGCGCTGCCCAATAAACTCGCCCCTTGGGGCAAAATTTAAAATTTAAACCATGCCCATGGGTGGTGGGTGGTCCTGGACAGTGAAGGTGCCGTGGGTGGTAGGGTGCCATCCAACAGTGGCACCCTACCACCCGTTGTTAGACAACGGGTGAAAGGGTGAAAGACAAATACTGAATGTGGGTGTAGTGGCTTAGCACTTTCTCTTGATAATTACCTCACCTTAGTTCAAAGCAACTCACCCTTGTCTGTTTTACAGGTGTTCGCCGCCCTCACAAGTGCTCCCGGACCAGCCGCCCGCACCCGCCCACACGCCGCCCACCATGAGAGTACTGGTGGTGTTGTGTGGGGTTGTGGCCCTGGCCGCCGCCCGCATGGCTTACTTCTTTCCCTCCGGGTACGAGGATCTGGTCGGTGAGGTGTCGCAGAGCTTCAGCTGCGACGGCCGCCCCTACGGGTACTACGCCGACGTCGACAACGCCTGCAGGGTCTTCCACGTCTGTCTCCCCATCCAGGATGACCTGGGCCAGGTGAGGCGCTATCCTCATCTCCTTCGCCCATGGCTTCGTGTTGTAACTCTCAAAGTGGTGTTCTTACAGCTGTTTATCACCACAAATGCTTCTTATCATCCGGACACTTCAATCATGTACCTTTTCCTCTGCGTTTTGCATGTGAATTGCGTTCATCAAGGGAGGTTCTCACTGCCGGGGATGAGCGAGGTCATCCTCTATACTGCCCATAGAACTTACAGCCATTTCATACTTAGTGATTATGCACCATTCCTTCCCCTCCGTCCCATCCCAATCCGTTTCCTGATCCGTTCGAAGTGCTATATAGTCGTAATGGCTTGGCGCTTTCTCCTGATACTTTTCTTCATACCTTGGTGCCCAAAACTGTACTGCTTAACACACCTGAACTTCCACATCTGGAGCCACGATATTATAACTTTGATTCGTAACAATTCTAGACATGTTTTTTGTTTTCTACTTCCGTCAAATTAGTGTTTACATTTATTTATCTTCCAATTATGACAAGATTCTTTATATATTCTGATTTAGTCGTGCTCTTACAGACGAGCGCCGTGGACCAGTTCACATTCGTGTGTCCCAACCAGACGGTGTTCAACCAGGAGTCGCTGACCTGCACCTCCGCTGAGGACGCCTTTCCCTGCCAGCAGGCGGCCTCTCTCTACGACCTGGTCAACTCAGAGTTCGGCAGGATCACGCAGGACGACCTCGAGTAGTCGTCATCGCCGCTGATGACGCGCAGCTGACCCTCTGGGACGCTACGCCACCTCTGTAGAGCTACAAGTCTCCCTGAAGACGTCTTCGGGAAGTAAATGATGCGACATAGGACGCAGGGACCAGATTCACGAAGCAGTTATGCAAGCACTTGCGAACCTGTATCTCAATCTTTCACGGCTTTGTTTACAATTATTAAACAGTTAATGAGCTCCGAAGCACCAGGAGGCTGTTTATAACAAAAACAACAGCTGATTGGGAAGTTTTCATGCATACAAACTGTTTAATAAAAGTAACCAAAGTCGTCAAAGATTGAGGAAAGTTGTACACGTTCGTAAGTACTTGCGTAATTGCTTCGTGCATCTGGCTCCAGGAGGGCTCTCTAAGACCGCACCTCGCAAGTACAGACACCCGTGGACGCCATCAGGAATACGAGATGTAACAAGTAACTGTCATCAGATAATGTGCACCAACACCCACAGGCTAAATCTACCCTGCCATCTACCCGTCAATCTACCTAAATCTACCTGCCATCTACCTGTCAGTATTGTCATACACTTAATGCTTGTCAGTGTTGCAAGCTTATAAACTTGCATTAAACTGGCAAAAATATTATCACGTTGTGATATTAAGGGGGCATATCGATGTAAAATTAAAAGTGGTTCAATTTGCTTATAAATTTTTTTATGAAATGGTTATAGAAAGGGCTGCAGCTGGTCCAAGTTTCATCATCACACCCTAAACAGAAAAGGAGAAAAAAAATAAACAACGAATTATGCAACGAATTCTCAAATAGTTTCAGGGAACACATGTGTCAACTAAAATCATTTCTATAACACTCAGATATTAAATGAAGCACATAATAAAGGATTCTAGTGATCAGTTTTATCAAAAAAGTGTTTAGTGCAATAATATAATTATTCAAAGTTACCCTTCTAAAAAATATGCAATATATGATATTTATAAATTTTTATAAAATCAACAAATAGACTTTGGACTAAAATGTCTACTAGAGTCTGTAGAAGCACAAACGCTACATATAAGGTGTAATTTGCATGTAAATTGATTAATAAATGAAAGCTATGAAGTAATTTGAAGGTGTAAATTACTTTCCAGAGTAAAATAAAGATCCAAGTTCGGCCACCTGTAGCTGAGCTTGACTTCGACAGATTTCGTTCATAATTGGGACCCTTGCAGATAGGCATCCATTGAGCAAGGTGTGCAAGTTTCATGCAAATCCCTTGATAACAAACGAGAAAAAAAAATTGGCCAAAAAAAAAAAGAAAAAAAAAAATTTACATATAAATATATTGCACATACATATTACAATTATTACAAGAGTTTGTGCTTCTACAGCACATAGTAGACATTTTAGTTGACACATGTGTTCCCTGAGATTATTTGAGAATGTTGAACATTCGTTGCATAATACGTTGTGCATTTTTTTTCTCCTTTTCTGTTTAGGGTGTGATGGTGAAACCTGGACCAGTTGCAGCCCTTTCTATAACCATTTCATAAAAAATTTTATAAGCAAATTGAACAACTTTTAATTTATAACGATTTATAATGATATGCCCCCTTAATCACAATGTTACATCCTCCTACTCTTCTTCCTCCTCTCCCGAAATATATTAAGTCTCAATAAACTATAATTTGCCATCTTCAATATAGTCTCAATAACTCTACAATACTACACAGTTAACATTGATAGTGTGTATTTTGGGACTTATTCAGAGAGCTCCAGTCAGTTCAAACAGTCTTCTCCAATAATACATAGTATTTTAATGTTAAAAATCCCCAACAGACAAAATATGATGTACTATACATACTATTGCGGATCACAAACGTTTACGTTTTCTATGCGTGGATTTATATTTTTATATTTTTTTATATTGAGGGAAGGAAGGAAGGAATTATCAAGGGAAAGCGCCAAGACATTACGACTATATAGCACTGGGAAGGGGTCAGGATAAGGATTTGGGATGGGACGGGGAAAGGAATGGTGCCCCAACCACTTGGACGGTCGGGGATTGAACGCCGATCTGCATGAATGATGCAATGATGTTAATGTTTGCAGATGATGCGAAGCTAATGAGGAATGTAAACACTGAGGAGGACTGCAGGAAGTTACAGGAGGACATTGACAAACTCCAGCAGTGATAAGGCAAATGGTTGGTGCACTTCAATCCCAAAAGGTAATGAGGACGGGAAAGGGAGAGAGGGGAGACCAGAGGGCAGCTACACCATGAGGGGAAGGCAGCTACACCATGAGGGGAAGGCAGCTACACCATAAGGGGAAGGCAGCTACACCATGAGGGGAAGGCAGCTACACCATGAGGGGAAGGCAGCTACACCATGAGGGGAAAGGCAGCTATACCATGAGGGGAAGGCAGCTACACCATAAGGGGAAGGCAGCTACACCATAAGGGAGAGGCAACTACACCATGAGGGGAAGGCAGCTACACCATGAGGGGAAGGCAGCTACACCATGAGGGGAAGGCAACTACACCATGAGGGGAAGGCAGCTACACCATGAGGGGAAAGGCAGCTACAGGAATCAGAGAGTGAGTTAGGAGTGGATATAATTCCTACACTCACACCAGAGACACGTGTATACAGGATAACATCTGCAGCATACAGGAAGTTGGTAAATATAAGAACATTTGTTTAGAAACCTTAATCAGGACGTCTTCGAGGCACTCTACACATTTCTTAGACCAATACTGGAATATGCATCACCGGCATAGAATCCTCACCTTGTGAACCAAAGGCAAAACTGAACAAGTACAAAGGTTAGCAACAAGATTGGTACCAAAGCAAAGAGGATTATGCTACGAGGATAGGCTAATGGAACTAGATCTCACATCCTTAGAGGATAGAAGGAACGGAGAGGATATGATCACATCATACAAGATACTGAGGATAATCTCTTTGAATAGAGTAGGGACAAGAGGATAAAAGTGGAAGCTGGAAACGCAAATGAGCCAAAGGAATGTAAGGAAATACTGGTACCCAGTACGGGCGGTCAACAAGTGGAATGCACTGAAAGAAGGTGTAGAAGCCACCTCCATCCACAACTTTTTGCCCAGATTCGACAAAGAATTTGGACATAAAAATAGTTTAATAGTAACAGCAGGTACAACACTCGCTTCATGCAGGATGCCGTCCAATCCCCGACCGTCCACAAGTGGTTGGGCACCATTCCTTCCCCCGTCCCATCCCAAATCCTTCTCCTGATCCCGTTCTGGGGCTATATAGTCGTAATGGCTTGGCGCTTTCCCTGAGAGTTCCCTTCCCTTCCCTCCCGTAATATGTGAAGGTAACAGCGCCAACACACATTATTTCACATATACCGTCCCCATGGTGAAGTGGTAAGACACTCGCATGGCGTTTCGCGAGTGCTTTGGCCTGGGTTCATATCCCGGCCGGGGAAAGGATTTACTGGGCGTCAATCCTTAACTGTAGCCTCTGTTTACCCAACAGTAAAATGAGTACCTGGTTTTTAAACGATTTGGCGGGTCGTATTCCGGGGAATATTAGATGCGTGCTAGTGGCTGTACAAGAATGTAAGAACTCTTGTATAAATATATATATAAATAAATAAATAAATAAAATAAAAACATGAAAGACGTCCTTGAAATGAAACTGAACGAAGACAGTTTATGATGTCAAACATCATCTTGATCATTCCAACAATGATCCATTCTAGGCGGTACGTTTTCTTAACTTATAAGTTAAACACACATACAACAATGTTCCCTAACTATTAACTTGAAGCCTGTCGAAACTGGACTACCCATTACACAGTGAATGCAATTTCATTGAGTCATACCTAAAACCAATTCATTTTCTGTAAAACCACAATAACGAAAACGACTTCACATGTTCAGGGGGTAACCATTCTAAACTTAATAAGCGTTTAAATGGTTTACTCAAGAGCTACCCATAGACATGACGGTAACACATATTCAATATTACAAACCCCCCCCCCCACGTCTTCCCACCCCTGGGAAACTATAAAAAGTAAATAAATAAAAGAATTACATGATTTCCGTCGTCATGAGTTAAATTTGATCATCTCTCCTTGCGAAATATTGGTGTTATATTTGATATATTTTGTATATATTTTAAAATTTGAGACACATGTACGAATCGGATTTGAGAATACTGGAATATATATATATATATATATATATATATATATATATATATATATATATATATATATATATATATATATATATATATATATATATATATGTTTCATTGAATATGACCGCATATTCTGTATTTATTATTTTCTGGTCTAGGGCTTCTATCCCTCTAACTATTTTCTTAGCATCAGGGCTTAATTGAAATAGGAGTTCTCCAAAACTCATTTTCGTACTTTTAAGGTGAAGAAAAGAAGTGATTTACTATAGTATTTACACTTATTTGTATAATTTGCACGACGTTTCGAACCTCCATGGTTCATTCTCAAGTGAACAGATCTTACAATACTAGTTGATTTTATACCCGCATTAGGTCAGGTGATAATACAATGAAGGTGAAAACATGGGGGGATACATAAGGGATAAACATAGGGGCTGCAGAAGGCTTATTGGCCCATACGAGGCATCTCCTATCTAAACACAAAGATTAATCCAGTGTAATTGGCCTGTTATGTTGGACATTGTCTTCTGTGTTGGCATCGATATGTTCTTGTCTTGTCCTTACTCTCATGGTGGGTAGAGTAAATAGTTCCGTGATTTGGGTGTTCATGGTAGGTCGCTCTATTCTTATGTGAATTGCCTCAAGAATTTGTAATCTTCTTGAATCTTGGGTTTTGTCTATTATGCAAGTATTCTTGTTCAACATTTCTCTTGTTAGAGTAATGTCATGGGCTTGTCTCATGTGATTCCTAGGGGCACCAGATTGAAGATGGCATGTCAAACGCCTCGTCAGCTTGGTCGACGTCATACCTATGTACTTACATTGAAGGTTACATCCTTCGTGGGGGCAAGTGTACATGTATACAACGCTTGACTGCTGTAGAGGGTTCTCCGTCGGCTTCGGGCTGTTTTTGATAAGGAGTTCGGAAGTCTTCTTGGTTTTGTAGAATATTATCAGGTTTATGTTTTGGTTAGGAGTAGTGCTTTTTACTCCTTTACGGATTATTTCTTTCATTATTCT